AACATTCAAATGATACGCTCCATTTGGTGGGCTCCTTTGGCTGGATATTGGGGGACAAACTTTAATTTGAATTGGTTACCAAGTGTCCGAGGAGTCCGGGATTGACTTGCACAATAATCAAATAATATGGCAAGTGCCGGAGCTGGGACCACTAGCGGGTTTCCCAAACTGATATTCAATGGAAGTTCGCAAACGCTCATTGATTAAAATCAATCGAAATCAACTTACTCGCAAATCAATTTGTGCAAGCCTGCTCTTAGAGGAGCCAACAAATTACGTTATCAGAAGAGGATGCTAAGCAAATAAAGATCAGGGCAGAGGGATTTCAGGGGTGTTCCTGGCGTTTTATATAAATCCATGATGGGCCGTACCGAAAATTAAAACGATAAAAGGGAGCCTGCATACGGCATGAGAGCTGGGTAAGTGGATCCCAGCCAAGAAAGAGGGTTCCTTTCGGGTTTTCACCCAGTTTTCCCTGCTCCTCGCCGGCAGTCAAGCAGGCATACTTAATGAGCGTGGTATTTTCGGGACACTGGCTTGGAAAATGAAGCGGAGGTGGAGTGGGCTGAGGCCAAAAGGTTGCACAATCATTTATTGTCTTGGCAACAGGCATGATATTAAGGTTTGCTTATTTATAGCGCCATGTCAAACGTTCTTGAAGTTGCTGCCGAAATCAATTCATTGGTTACTATAGAAGTTGTGATATTCGTAAGATATGTTACAAAACTCCTTACTTAAAGCCCTATTTTAATGCGATGTGCTAAACATGTACAGCATTATTAAATTGCCTTGTAAATCTGTATTGCACTTGCAATTCATTTGTTACAAGTGTTTGCTCAACGTACCTGTCCAAATGAAGTGCCAAATTGTCCGTAAATGAGTCAAGCAAAGTTGATTTATTACAAGTAGAGTGAAGGGCAAATTACACAAATCATATTTGAAGCAAACTGCATAGACTGCGCTGTGCAGCATGGCAGCATTTCCCAGAGCTCTTCCAACCCAAAGGGCGAACATTTATCCGTGAAAATATTGAAATAAAAGCAGCCATGTGCTCGCATCTGCACAAAAAGCCAGCCAAGGAGTTCAAGGCAGTGAGATGAAGGGATTTAACTATTCGAACGACAGCCTGACATTGGCTTAAATCAACAACGGAGAGTTGGGACCTCGGGGCTTCTGGCTTGAAATGGAGTCGAATCCCGTCGCATGTGCGCTCCATATGTATTATTTGGCATTGTCTACGAGTTTGGTAGTGCTATTGGTAGGTTGCTGCTGCCGGGGGACAAAATTGTATGCCATTCCCGCAGTTGTTCTGTGCTGTGACATGCATAACGGGATTTGATTCTGCTGCTTTTTGCGCCTCGCATCAAAAATGTAAGCAAATCAGTCAAAGGATGTTGTGCAAAAAGTGCACAAACGTCGGCCAACTTGACGGCGCCTGGCAACCAGAACTGAACAGGGTCGGGAATAAAATAAAACGAAAAGCAATATAGGTCAACACTGCTTTCGAGATGGCCCACGGCATGTTTTCCTCCAGAGGCGAATAGAAAAAGCTTTAAATTTAATGGACAATGTTGTGCATAAACAGATTTAGAGTCGAGTGCCCCCAGCGAGGAAATGTGTATGCTATTCCACCGCACTCTGCTGCCAGTCAACTGAAAAGCTGTTCTATTTATAGGAACGCTTTGTTTGTCAAATGTGAGTTATTGGCAAGTGTTTTGCAGCTGCCTTTTTGGTCTGGGCTCGTTTGTGTGACAAACATCAACATATTCTAAGAACTTAAAGACAGTGGTACTTTTTGTTTAATTGTACTCGTCCACCACGAGAAAGGCTAATCAAACAGGTGCTTTTCTTTGTTCTTCGTTGTTTAATAAGTATAAATAAGGCAGGTGTTTTATGCATATTTACATTTCAAGCCTAAAATAGTTCAACTACTAAATCGCTTTGCGCTGCATGGATTTCTATGTCTCCTATCATCATCATAAAGCCAGCCACCTCAGCCAAATTTGGCGACCACGTGGAAGAAACTCCTCCCAGAACCTCGCCATTTACATGGGGGCTTGATGGAGCATTTCTGCGCCTGTCAAATGCCTCATTGATCCGGGACATAAACTTGTCGGTTTCTTATCTCTTTGTTTAGACAAACATATTGGCAGACGCGAGAGACGTCCTAGACGGGCACTTGGCGATGGGCTTAGGGGGTTAAGCTTCGGGGGTCAGGGGTTAGACAGACAGACATGCTAACTACGGCCATGAATCAGCACCGTATGAGAGATGAGCCAGCTCGGCTCACCATTGAGCCCCAATAAGACTCAAACTTGGAGTAATTGCTTACCGTCTGGTATGAGATGAAGCTGAGTTCATAAAAATGCCATAACTCGACTGGTTTACCCCTTAGTGTTCCTTGCTCCCTGCTATAAATTTACCAATTTGCCATGGCATTTGTTTTTACAGCTCCAGACGACGATGCGTGGATAAGGCTTATGCAAATGGCTCCGCCTGATGGTGTGCGATTTTTATTTGTCATACATCACACAACAAACAAAAGTGCAGTGGGGTCACTGCACAAAGTGGCTAATCGACGTACATACTCGCACACAATGGTAATTAACCCAATTTGGCTGGCGGTGCTCCTGCTGCCTATGATGATGGCCCGGTCGGGCAAAACATTTGCGCTGGAATTTAATGAACGGGGTAATAAGCGACTAGTTGCTCCCTGCCCTTCCCTTTCCCCCACTCCGCACTCCTCACTCCTCCCTGGAAAAGCCCCTCATGTTGGGGAAATCCCAACTTGTTATGTCGAGCAAATTGCCATCATGTGTTCGTGGGCGGAGGAACCTCGCCTCAATTGCAATTTGAATGGCGGGGCCACAGCCACTTGGCCCCGATTGTTGGCTCACTTTAAGTAGGGTCGATGGGATGGCATTATGATGCTGATGTAGTTCCTGCATATGTTGACCATGCAATTGCCAGATTACGAGCTCCTAAGGCCACTTTCCATTACATAATTACGCCGACAAGTAGCCGAGGCCTTTGCTCGAAAAATATTTTCGGAAGGAACAGAATTACCTGGACAAATCCCTGTTGAAATCATTACTTTAAGAAATTATACTAATTAAGTCATTATTCATGTCAATTAAAAAAAATGTCTTGTCTTCTAATAAAACATGAGTTTTATTAAGAAGTTTTTCGACCAATTACTCGTATAATTGAACATTGTGAATGAAGTACCATTTAAATGCAATAATCCTCATAACTTAAATTATCTTTGAAGTTTTTTACACAAGTTTGCTTCAGCAAACCAAACAAATTGCATTGTTGTGCAATCATTTCTCGCAAACCACATATATCAATATGTAAATTAAAAATAGATATGCTTCTGAAGATAAAATGAAATATAACCCAAGAGCACTTTTGACCCTAGAACAAATAATGGACATAAATAAAGAAAAAACCTTCAGTTAAGGCATCGACCGCATCATTGTCACTCAATTTGCTGGTCTGACATTTGAACTGTTTGAACCTTCCGAGTGGGCCAGACATTCTGGCCAAAAGGAAAAACTGCAGCCATTGATTTGGATAAGAGTGGGCGTGGGATCTGCGGCAACCGCGGCAGACCAACAAGTGTGAACCTTGGGGCAGGCGTAATTTGTAAATGTCTTAACATGAAATCAAGACGCAAAAACAGCCTTAGGCTGCTAAGGAGGCCCAAAAAGGAGCAGCTGATCCATGCATGACTTAGCCACTTCTGCCTCTAATTTCAGGATCCCTCGATATCCCAACATTCCTACTCCGTTTCGGCCAAGTCATGAGCCTTGACTTTGAAGCGCACGACCCAAAAAGGCACATTTTGCCCCTTGGAAGCTGTTGACAATTTGAATTTTAGCAATCGCTGCCAGATGGCCTTTTGAAAAAAAAACACACTGCAATTTAGTAGCACTGAGTTGCAGAATTTCGCTTAGTATCTACCAGCGATTATGACATCTATTATTAACTATCATTATTTGTAATCCCATTACACTTCTCATTATTAATTAATAAAATAGTGGCAAATAAAATTATGATTTCCAAATCAACTTAGTATCGCTTCACCTTCTTGGTATTCACACTAAGACATTAGGCAATAAATCGAACAAAAGAAGCTAAGCTTCTTTCCCAGTGTAACCAAGCGAAAGTATACAAGCGTTTTCCGCAGACTGGGAAAGAAATCACAGTTTCCACGTGCTACAAGACAAAGGATGTTGGGCAAGTTTTCCAGCAATCTGCATGTAAAATATTTAACACGAAATGTTTTTGTATAGTCGCCCATTTTCATTATATTTCAGCCCGAAATGCTGCCTGCCCCAAGGGCTTCCATGGGCCCGTATTGGGGAAAGCTGGATGGGATTACATATACATACCAACATATAAACATACATACGCCTCCGGAGCGTGGGCTGAAAAATAATGAGCGTCATGCTGCGTCGTCTGATAAATATAGCACACACAAATTTATATATGGGCAACAGTTGTTGATGCCATAAGCGATAAATTTTTGCCAGCTCATGCCAAATTGCGAGTGTGCTGAAGGATGCATGATGGTGTGTATGAATGCGGATGTATTTATTAGGGAGTGAGTTGACAATTGTGCGACCTAGGTGTTTTGTGTCGTTAGAAGACTTTACAGTTGGCGAGCCGTTTCAAAGGGTAGCTCTGAATAGAATTAAATTTCAGAAATTTAACCGTTTAGTACGCGAACATTGAAATGATCTAAAAAAAGAATTGCGAGAAAATAAATAATGTAAAAACAGATGGCCTAACAATAGCAAGCGCCTTATTTAAACAAAAGCTGTTGGCTTGTCTATTTCAATAAAACAGTAAGCAAAACTTTCCACTTGATATTAGCTTTTCCCCTAATGAGCCATTCTTCTATTTACCCGCCTTCCAACTGTCTTGGCCCAAAGCGAGTCAATACAAACACAGATTGGTTGGCTGGCACACAAGAGCATTTCGATTTCGGCCTATAAGAAGATGGGCGCGCCCTGAAGTTGCACAGTGTTCCAGTGACACAGCTCAAGATGTGTTCCAAACTCAATCTTTTCTTGGCGCTAGTGGCCCTAGTCGCTGCTGTATATGCTGCCGATGCGCCCGCATCGCCTTCTCCAACTGCTGCAGCTTCTCCGCCTCCTGCAGCTTCTCCGCCTGCTGCAGCTTCTTCAACTCCTGCAGCTTCTCCGCCTCCTGCAGCTTCTTCAACTCCTGCAGCTTCTCCAACTCCTGCAGCTTCTCCGACTCCTGCAGCTTCTCCGACTTCACCATCTCCTGCAACCCCTGCCGCTTCTCCCGCATCCCCGACGTCACCAACCTCGGCGGATGCCACCACTACAGCCACTGCGACAAAAAGGATTCGCAGGCGCAGGCGCAGGACGCTCCGGAACCGCAGGATCGCGAGGGGCAACAGAGGAATCAACCGCCGCGGATCTGGTGGACGCAGAGTGGGTGGACGCAGAGTGGGTGGACGCAGAGTGGGTGGACGCAGAGTGGGTGGACGCAGACTGGGTGGACGCCGTCAAGGCGAAGGGGAAGTCGTGATCGTTGAGCCTGGATTGGTACCCATCCTTTAAGATCTGTTCAGAAAGAAACTATTAAACTGAAATCAAAATATCAATCCCTGTTTGTATTTATTTTGTCCAGTTGCATGATTGTGAAATGAAAGTCTTGTTCCCATAAATTATTAATTAGGAGAGTCGTGCAATTTGTATCAATGTATTATAGAAGATGTTTATATCTAAGTTAGCAATTGCTCTTCAGCTGTAAATGGCCAAATAATGCTATCCGGCTGAAAATTGGGTTGAAAAGCATCCACAGCCGAAAACTAATTCCGTGTACAATGGAACCTCTCCAGTTGACTTGTGGGGTGAAAGTTAATCAGGCACCAAGGTGCGCTTATTATAAATTAATTTAGCAGTCAGTCAAGTCTGCCGTGCCGCAAACGCGATTAGTTTCGGCCTGGTTAGGCTCGACTTTATGGCCTGGATCTCGGCACAATGCACAAGTTGGTAGACGGTAGGGGTTCTTTCAGTTCCTGTGCGAAATCCCCCAGCCAACTTCCCTTCTAATGCCCTTTTGTTCCGTTAAAAAGGCGAGCAGCCACTGCAGCTGTTGCCCCATTAGCCATGCAGCGTCGAAAATTGGCCAAGGACATTACAAGTTTTTGCAGCACAGTGCAAATTCCATTTCGCACGGAAATGGTGCTAGATGGTGATGGATATGGTGTGGTGATCTCTTAAATTTCATTGGCAGTGCGCAATTGATGCGCGATTCCTCTTCAGTGCTTCGGCACATTCAATTTGGTTGAAGTTGAATATTTATGTCGTTATACGAGCACGAGCCCTTTTTAAATAATGTATTCCATTTCAGCATTCAACAAGCCCGTTCGCTAAAATAAAAAATATCCCTACATAAATAAGCGGAGATGAAAACTTGACTTGGCCAAGCGTAATCAAATAAATGATGACCCCACAACATAAAAAAGCAACCCAAACAATTGGTCCTGTCATTTAAAATCAACTTTTCCCTGCCCTTGACTGTCGAATCGCGACTGCAGTCGACTGCAAAAAATTGTGAAAGTTCGATCGATGGGTTGAACAATTAAATCGGTTTCCAGGGGGCAAGGGGCGAACCTGCATTTCTGTTTCTTTTGACAGCACATTTCATTTCATTCACTTAATCTGACTCTGACTCGATTGGCGATTGTGACAATTGCATCTCGGATACCATTTGTTCGCTTTAAATATTTATATACTCGGCTCAGTCGTTATTTCTCATCTACGGTTGGCCTGGTGTGCAAAATATTAATTACACACTGAGTGGCTGACAAATTGCTAATTTCAACTGTCGACCGACTCAGCTTGTGTCATATTTTGCACTAATAAATTCAGGGTATGTTATTTGTTTAAGCTTAGACTTTGCACTCGTCGAATCTTTTGCATTTAAGATACTTTAAATTTTGCTCCGTTTATGACCAGGATTGGAAGCTGTATTTGATCGGCTTAGAAACAAATGTTTTTCGGATTTCCTGCAAGCCTTTAATTTATTCATTCGGCAATAAATAGGGTGCAGTCAATAAAATTCTTATCGTTACATTTCATTTTGGATTGATTCCAATGATAAAGTCAGGCCCCGAGGATGAAATAAATTCTACCTGTTTCACACTTTTAAACGACTCCAGTGTACTCATTAATTTACGACGCTTTATAAAGTGCTTAAAATTGCACAACAAATTGGATTTATGTAAATGCAATCGGTGGATCTAAATTACTTGCATTTATGTAAATCATTTTTATTACTTTCTTTAATAACTTGTTGAAGTCTTATCGTGATCCCACTTCGGCTGTATAGCCGTGTAATCTGTGATTAATCTTTATTATTGTTGCATAATAATGCACTCAATTGTCATTTATTTCATATGCACTGCACAATGAACATAAAGAAGTACACAATTCAAGCCCTTAATAGATGTTATTTCAAAGGGGACTGCAATTTGTTAGCTAAACAAACACCTATTATATATTATAACATTGATTCAAAGCTAATATTAGCATATTTTGTTCATCAGTTTCCTGGGAATGACAGACGTAGACACAGACGTAGAACCGTCTGCGTCATCGAGATTTTACATAAACTGTTTGGTTATGCACACAGATGGAAAAGCAGAGCAAAACAGGACTCTGTGCGTAATTATAGAACGGAGGGGGCCAGACACGTGTTCCTTCACCACTTCGAAGGTCCCAGGTGGGACCATAATGAGTGAGCAGGATTATGCGGAGAGGTGTGGATGAGCCGCACAAGTGTCCTGGTTATCCTCGGCTTCTAATTGTGACGAACCCCCTCAAAGGAATGCAAAATTGCTGCCGGCCTTTTGTGTGGTATTATTATTACCACATTTGGTGAGCTAACACGCCTTAAATAAAGCTTTTGTTCCAAGGAAATGTTTCTAAAACAGGTGATGCGACCAATTTTGCCATCTGCGTCACTAATTGAAGTTGGCGCTGAATCGCAATTCAAAAATAAACACTTGTTTGCGAATGCTTAGGTTGGCAATAAGCAGATTATATTTAAACAACGTTTGACCTTGATTAAAAATTTATTTACTTACATAGTTCAGTTTGCCCCCATATTTCAGTTACCCAAGGGAAACCCCATTATCTATTAATTAATTCGCCAAACGCATCTCTTACAAACAATGCCGCTTGTTAAACTAACTAATTAAAAGTTAAGCCCAATACCCTCGCAGGTAAACAGTTGCTAATTCAAGCTGTCAGATTTGTTTTGCCTATCCTGAATTCCATTAGTTCATGCTCTTGGAAGGGACCAACTGCCTTATCCCAGTGCGAACCCTTTTCAACACCAAGACAGAAAGACAGACTGTCAAACATTTCACTGGTGCCAGACAAACATGGATACTTTTGAAAATAAATTCATTTTGGCGAAAGCAACTTTATAAAGTAAGAGCAAGGTCCTCTTAAAGTCCCTCAGTCTCAAATCAAACCACACATGTTAATTTAAAATAATGTTTTAAATGATGCTTTTAATTTGCCAAGTTGTACACTTTTGCAATTTTCTGAATAAGCTTAAAACGCAGAACCTCCTTCGAGCTAAAACCCAGAAGCAAATATTTGTACTACAATCTGCTGTTTGTACTCCCAAGCCCATCCATTTCAATTTAGAAATTTAACTCAACTCCATTGCACATCAATCAAAATCAACTCTGGAAAGACGTCTTATCGACAGTTGGTATCCTTGTTCCTGTTGTGAGCCCAACAGCACTTTTGATAACAGCACTCCTTCTGTGCGAAATATTTAACAGCTGACTAGCAGTATCCTGTTGCGCTCTTACTCCGAATAGTGGGCACTCGCTCTCGCGGCTGTCCCGTTGGGCTTTCCAGTGGCTCTCACTGGAAAAGCCGCCAAAAAGTCAGCTGTTTTTGCGGCTTACACGAGCGTTTGCCTCAGATTGCCGATATGTATGGGGGTTGGAGGCAAGAGCAGCCATAACAAATATTTCCCTACCAGATCCTTGACGTTTATCGCGTCCGATGTCGCTTTAACCAATTTAATTGTGTTTAATTTATGGCCCAAACTGAAGTCCAACCGGAACGTCTCCGAAACCATGCGGCAGTTGGTTCTAAATAGGGGGTCCTAGGGGTCTGTATATAGGGTCCTGCTAATGGTGCGTGTCCAAATCGCATTTAGAGGGCGAGGCCGGCTGGCTAAGTAAATAAACGGCAAAATGAAATAAAACAAAATGGAAATGGAAATCGACATAAATAAATTGCTGGGAAAACGGTTTTATCGCCGCCACAGCCTTTGACACTTTCGGTTAATGGCGCCCCCGTCCCCCCTTTCGAGACGACCCCTCCTCCAGCTCACACACTCACACACACAATCCGAATGATTTAGGTTCAGGGCAGTCCACATGGCGTATGCGCAATTAAAACACTTGCCCCTGGCAAAAACCTACACAATTTATTTGCACGAATTCCTCGCCCTCAATTTTTTTAATCTATATATGCTTATCAGTCTCTGCTTGTTCTCCTTGTTCAATAAGACATAAATTTTACTTTGGCAGACAACGCAGGACAAGAACAACTAATTTGACAATTGGTTTGTCTGAGAATTTCAATATGTTCATTTCTGGGAATATAATCGGACTCTGGAGTGGGATGGCACATTATCATAATTTGGCCTTGACATGCATGAATTCTGACTTCTTGCCAATGTGTGCAAAAAGTTGCCGACAAGAATATTTCTTGATACCAAGTTTTTGCCGCAATAACTTGTTTTACGCATAGCATTTATTCTGTGTTGATATTCTGATGAAGTTTAAGTTCAAATTGGCTTAGAGATTTTCTGATGAAGCTTTAGCTCCAATTGGCTTCAGGAAACATGAAAATTTGCGAGAAGAACTGCTAATATTCTAAGAAATATAGAATATGCCGACTCTGTTCTAAGAACTATGGAACTAATGATATATTTAGTTAATGTTGTTAGTTTTAAGAAACACTTTTAAGATCCGTTCTGTTTCAACAGCTGCTCCCTTTCCTAATGAAATAATATGAATAATATTCCCCTTTGGAGTTGAATAAATAATAATGGTTAGACGCCAGGTAACTTGCCACATAAAAATAGTCTTTCTGAAACTGAAAAATTCCCTTTTCCCCTGAACCACTTTAAGAGGCATTTCCCAGTTGGCGCCACCTAATTGTTCCCACTGTGGCTGGCAACTTGTGTTATTAATTTTTATGGTTTTTGTTCCGCTTCTCTGTTTTTGGACCACTTGCATTTTTTTCGTTTTGGAAACGGTTTCATTCCATGTCCGGCAATCCATTTCGAATGCAAATGAAAATGCTTGCGGCCTGTTTCCGACACTACTATATCCACACTCGTGTATCCGATCCAAATCCGGGTATATATGTTTATATTTGTACTCATATATAGGGTAGCCTCGCACATTGCTTTTCCATTTGTGTGTCGCGTTTTAAATGCAAAGTGAGAGAGGGCCAACTTCACTGTGGCCAGCTATTTGGCCCAGATTTGGCCGCTTTGCGCCAAAACATGGCCAAAAGCCTGCAAACTGTCAGCAGATTGGGTGCGTTTTCTGGTCAG